TCTGTTTGCTGAAGCCACTGGCAGGGAGGTCGGCGGGAGAGCAGAGCAGGGAGGCCGTCCAGTTGCGCAGCTGTAGGAGAGACTGAGGGAGGGCGACCTTGCACCAGGCGCAGGGCTAAGGACGTCGAGGGCAGGGTAAGGCCTGCGCTGGGACTACAGAACACACACACAGCCAGGAAACTTGCGGATGGGCCCGGGGGCGTGGCCAGGAGGGCTGGGCGTGGCCTGCATGCTGGGTGGGCGTGGCAAGGAGGGTTGCCTGGGAGGGGCGTCTCCAAGGCGGTTCCCCACAGCAGGACCCTGTGTGGGTTTCCATGGCCCCTTTGAGGGGTCAGGGGCTCTCCAGGCCCCAGAGAGCTGGGCTCCAGCCCTGCAGGCCCTCCCAGGCTCCCTGGGTGTGCACACAGGTGCTGCCAGGGACCCCACCATGGCCCGGGCATCACCATGCCCAGGCCACAGCCTGGCCCTGTCCTCACTCAAGACAAGGTGTGGCAGGGCCCACGGCCTGTGGCAGTGTCACCATCCTGTCCCCACCAAGTGCCTACGAGGCTGGGGGTCCCAGAGCAGAGAAGGGTAGGTCCAGCTCTCAGGGAGCGCACACGCGGGCACACGAACACACACACACGTGGGCACATCACAGGCTCATCACGGGCAGAGATGTGCACCTGCATGCACACACATGTGCATCACACCCACACGCGCCTCCATGTGCATGTGTGCACATGCAGCGTAGGAGGCCACCAGGAAGGGAGGGCGGCAGCCCCTGGAAGACAGGCCCCATGGGACCCCGTCAGCTCACGCCAGGCAGAGTGGGGTGCAGGAGGGCAGGAGAGGGGAGGGCGCAGTGAGACCCTCACATTTTAACAGCCCTGGTCAGCGGAGGCCACACCTGAAGCACAGGTGAAGGAACTGGCCTCCCGAGGCCTCGCTGTGCCCCTGCCGTCCCGCCCACTCACCAGCTGCCACTCACTGCCCACATGCGGCCGGGCACTCACCGCCTTGCTGAGATCGTGGGGCAGGTGGGCCCACTGCGGGTTGTAGAGGATGCAGTAGTCCCTGCCTCGGGGGCCCCCGGCCTCGGAGACCACACGCACCATCCCGTACTCGCAGGCCACCTGCGGGGACAGACCCGGTCAGGGCACGGCAGGCCGGGGCCTTCCGACACAGGCTTGGCAGCCCCACAAGAAACAGGTACACGGCTTAATGCTGCCTCTGGCCCTAAGGCGGGTGGGACGCCTGCCCGACAGACAGACAGGTGTGGCCCAGGAAACGAGGGACGTAAGCGCGAGGGCTGGAACCAGCGTCTCCCTTGGGAGCCCAGGCTGTGCCCACGCTGGGCCAGGCTCCGAGTGCTCTCTCAGCGAGAGGTGGCTCCACCTTGGGGGACCATCCAGGACGCAGGGCCAGAGGGAGAGGCACGGGTCGGTGGCTCCGTGCCAGGTCCCGGGAAAGTGGGGGCCTTGGGCGGGCTGCCGGTTCCCAGCAGATCAGAGATGGCCCCTGATCCAGTGTCCAGGGGATAAGCTGGTGACCCCAGTCAGCACCCCTTCAAGTATGGCAAGAAGTGAACTGTCCAGAGGGGTCAAAGGACGCTGAATGCCAAGCGGGCCGGGGCAGGGGGCACAGAAGCTACCTCCCACCCGGCCCAGGGTGGGGCAGGCCCCAGACCCTGCTGGGCAGCAGGTGTGCACAGGGAGGGGAGGGACACCACCCAGTGAGAACCTCGAGGGTGAAGATGGGAGGACGGAGTGGGCCGTGGGGGGCCCTGACTCTGACTCCCATGGGCCCACGGGGTCTGCATTCAAAAGGGAGAGCGTCCCGAACACCGGCCCCCACCCAGGAGGGCGTGTGGATGGGGCCTGGGGCACAAGGGTGATGCCCCAGAGCCAGGGCAGGCCTGAGTGCTGTGTGAAGCAGCCCAGCGATCACTGCCATGCCCCAGGACTACCATGTGGCTCGGCTCAGCCAGTTCTGGGAGGTTCTGGGAGCTCCGAGAGGCATGCAGGAGGGCAGGGACCCCAGGAGACAAGCCCGGAGCCAGCTCGGAGCCAGCCCGGGTAGGTACACAGCTCCTCCAGGAGCTGGAGGGGCTGCCGGGACACACAGGGCTCCTCCCGCTGGGCAGGTCCCCTAGGGCATGCCGCAGAAACGCAGCACCTGAGACGGACGGCCCTGTGCCGTGAGCGAGCGGGCCACAGGCAGAGGCAGCTGGGCCGGGCCGGGCTAAGGGACCACGGAACCCGGACACCGACCAGCCCCTGCCAGCCAGGCTCTGAGTGAGGGTGAGCACAGCAGAAAGGGGAAGGACCCCCTTCCTCCAGGGAACACCCTGCGGGCTCCCCTCTGCTCCACGCTGTGCAGCACCCACCCTACACATTCCAACAGGGCGCCCAGCCGCAGCAGGGGCGGAACCTCCAGTCCAGCCCCCCACCCACTGTCTGTGTCAATAAAGTTCTATTGGCACGCAGCCACGCCCACTGGTCCCCAGGTCCTGGCAGGAGGCAGGGGCCGTGCACAGGTACTGTCTGTCCCCCAACATTCACCAGCCCGTCTGAAGGGGTCAGGGTGCTAGGGGAAAAGCCTTTTGTACGAGACAGACGACAGAAGCGCCCCGTGAAAGGTCAGCTAGGCACACAAAGGCACGCTCCTGTCCCCACCTGCAGGGCTGCCTTCTGGCAAAAATACGTCCATGCTTTTATGCCGGGCCAGAGAAAGCACAGCCGGCTTTGACAGTCCTGGGGCAGCTCAGCGGAACAGGGGCCCAAGATCTGGCAGGGTCTCCTGCAAGCCCGAGGCCCGCCACCCGGCCGAGGAGGTGGCCGGGCTGCCGTGCCAGGACACATGGGAAAGGCCCGAGGCCTCCTGCGCACGCTGCACAACATGCCCCCGATCCGGCAGCCCGAGGCCACCGGTGACCACTGCATCCAGCCCTGGGGAGCACTGTCTGCCTGTTTCTGGAACCGGTGACAGGGCCAGGTCAGGGGCAGTCTTCCCTGAGACCCCCTCCTCGGAGGGGGGTGCGGGGGACTGAGGTCTGACCTGCTGAATACTGGGCTCCCACGGCCAGCTGCGAGTAACTGGGGGAGGTGGGCACACATGGGTTGTAGCACGGACCCATGCATTTCCTTGCCCAGTGGGCACTGGACCCGAACCTCCAGGGCTATGAAGAAGCACCCCACCCAAGGGCATCTGGTCCCGGATCTTCGGGCGCACCTAACCCCTGAGCTGCAGGTAGCACAGCACCACGGGCTCCCCACACCCAGAACAAAGTCCGAACCCCTTCCGCCTGCCCAGGACAAGGTCCAGATGGCCAGGCCGGGGAGCCCTCCGTGACCGCCTCTGAGCTGTCTGCCATGGTGCTGCCCATCCCAGTAGCCCCTCCCTGGGTCCCGGCCCAGTCCCTGGCTTCCCGCCCAGTCCCTGGCTTCCCTCGGGGCAGCACGCCATCCCGCAGCCTCCCGCAGCCTCCCACATGCTGTGTGTCCCAGGCTGGCGGAGCCCTCCCTCCGTCCCCAGGGTCCTTCCTCTGGGACTCTCCCCCTTGCTCCCGACTGGGAGCTTGCAGCCCTGCCCTGACGACGGACGCCTGCGGGCAATGGGGACGTTCCCGGATGGGGACAGCTGGGCAAGGGGAGAGGTTCCCGGAGAGAGGGCGGCTTCCAGGGGGCGGCTGGGAGCCACTGGACGGCTGGCATCTGGCGGCAGGGAGATTACTCCTGCAAAGCGGAGAACGGCCAGAGGGCCGAGGACAAGCGCAGCCACAGGGAGAAGGGCCCGCTGGGAGCTCCAGCAGACACAAGGCTGCACCCCTGCAGCCAAGGCTAACTAACGGCGTCCATGGGGCTGCCAGGGCACCACCCCGGCTGCGGGAGCCAAGCCGGGTAGCTCCAGATCGAGAATGCTCACCGACCGGGGCACGTCTCCCAGACCGACCCAACACCGAGTGCGCGATGGCGCGCTGAGCGGGGTGGGTGCCCGGCGCTCCCACCTGTGCATCCGCGGAACCCACTCCGCTCACCCCGACTTGCAGACGAGCATCTGCGCTCGGAGCGCGGACTCCCCTGCCCAAGGTCACCGCACGGGAGACGGAGCTGCCCCGGACCCCTCCAGGGCCAGGCCCCGGGAGCGCGCCGCTCGCCCTGGTGGGGGCCAGGGCCACCGTGCGCGTGCCACACGGGGGAAACAGGCGGCGCGCCGGCAGGCGGCCGCCCCCGCGCACCC